CGCCGTCCAACCCCCGTTGTGTGAAATCCTGGTGCATGTGTGTCTGGGGAACCAGGCCGTACACGCGGCTCACTGAGAGTCAGGCTGCGATGGCTTCTTCTTAATGTGGCCTTTATGGCACTCCCACTGTGTGGGATCCGAGCCGGCGATGGCGGCACGCCTAGGTGCGGCTTCAGCCGTGTCAGCATCCACTTTCTGTTCTTGTTGTTGATTAGAAACCCGGTTGTTTGTTGAGCGGCCCAGGGGGTGTGGTTGAACGCCAAGGTGCGGGCGCGTCCGCGCCATCCACCTGCGGCCTCCCTCATCTCCGGTCTTCTTAACTCTGTCTTGACACCAGGCTCAGGTTGGGGAGGAGGAGAGAGTGTGGTAGATGCAGCGCAAGTCTACTGGTATTATAAACACCTGCGCAAGTCACCATCCCTGCTCCCACCACCTGCTGTTGGGCATACGATGGACATCGTCGAAATCGACGGTCGAACGCTCATGTGTGTGTGTGTTCACACTTAAGTGCATTCTCTGGTCAAAAGGTCTGAAAGCGTGTGCTATGCCAGTATCAGCAAACCATGGCACTCGCAGCCTGGTATTCGCTGGCAGTTTCCGACTGATAGATGCGCTTGCGCTCTCGCTGAGTGTGCAGGTGGTGGACCTGGCTGTCCAATCCTCATCCTCGTCCTTCTGAGCCCTGTTGCTTTGCTGTTGTTGGTCACATGTTCGTTGTAGACCTGGGAGTGTGGTGGCACGCCTGGGTGCGCTTCCGGCCGCCACCTGTGTCCTCCCCCGCCTCCGGTCTTTTTGACTACGTCTTGACACCGCGTCCAGGTGGGGGGAGGGGTAGGAGAGAGCGCAGTAGATGCAGCGCAAGTCTACTCTCACTATAAACTACTTCACGAGCAAGTCTCCGTGCATGCCCTCACTATGCTGTGAAGCACACGGTGGACGCCGTCGTTCGCGACGGTCGAACTGTCGCGCGTGTGTGTGAATCATGTGAAATTTTGACCTTGTAAGTTATGGAGTCCACTGCACTCCCCCCTCCCCGAAAGGACGCGGGATCAGTGGGATGCGCGTGAATCAGTTTGTAGTGAGGCGGACTTGAGCGCATCTACCGCATTCTTACTTTCCTCACCCACCCTCCTCTTAGGACAAGAGGGGTCTAGACGACAAAAGCTAAGCGCGGACGCAGTTCACGACCCGCCTGTGCGTGTCACACGCGATCGGGTCACGGCGACACACAGTGGGGTGAAAAAAAGAGAACTCGGACTTCACTTGAGGAGGGAATTCCGCATGGGCTACATTGCGAAGAAGGTATTTCAGACCCTCGAATATGCCCACATTGACGCACAAGTAATCCTGCAACTTGAAAGTTCCCCTACCCACGACTGTGATAGATGTCAGTGAATCACATTTACTGTGATGCGAAAGGCGCTGATGTACGCAGGGCATGAATTCGCCTCCACTCTCGGCCACACTCTCTCTTCTTCCCCCGTGAACAAGGGGCCTGTTCGAGCCTGTCAAACAGCTGGTTACTCGAGCTGCTCGAGTCATGGTTCTCAGGCCCGCAATCCATCAACAAGCACAATGACCTCCCGGTACCCTATACCGTACTGCGACTTTCCCTGGACACGAGAATCAGTCACGCGGGGAGGGCGCGGGCGAGCAATCATCACGGTGACAGTGAGCCAGTTTGCCGAGCAATCGTCACACCAGCATCCAGCACGGATGACGAAATCGCGGCCATTAACTACTCGGACTCGGACCGCCAAGCCACCGCCGCATCAATTACGACCCCAGTGGCGATTGCGAGCACTGTTAATTGCAGTGCGCATACGGTCCACGGCAGCCACGTGCTATAAATACTGCACTCCTGGTGCCACCATCACCTGCATCTGCGAATGTCTCTGATGATGGATTCGAGTGAGGATCCGAAACGTCAGGCAAATAAATTTCTTGTTCCAGTGATCGCATCTTCATCTTCTGAACAGCTGGTTACTCTCAAAACTAAACCGCCCGTCTGAGAGTGTCACATTGCACCGGATTGCCGCGTTTTGTACCCGCGTGACTGATCTCTTGAAATGCTGGCTGAAATTCAGAAATGTGTTTTCGACTAGAAAAGTTTACTTAGGTGGGGTTGAAACATTCCGTATCATGGAACATAGCCCTAATATATTTCAAACTTGACAGGATGTCAGATTTTGAATGCATTACATTTTAATCTTCTGTACAAACCGTACTCCGAAAAAAAACTACTTAAGTAGCATGCATTTTTACAATGATTTTCGATGGCCTTGAAACTTCAAATATATTTTATAGTAACCGCGGACAAAAATATGATTTCTTTAATTCGTTTGATAGAGAATCATATCGTTTTTATATTTTATACCCGAAAAAGGACTATAATAAGGCTTTAAAAGGGTTTCCTAGTTCCCGAATAAGTTGGAGTCTGATCGGCCGTTGCATTGGCGCTTAGTGATTTCAGTCTACAAGGTGCATGCGTTCCCCGTAAAGAAAATTATATATTCTTCTATGCCTTTAAAAAGATATCATATAGGATCCAGTAAATTTTGCAATCAATGCCGTCCTTGTTGTACATTTCACGATGGGCAGTGGTAAACGGACAGGTACGATGCTTTATGAATGGACATTGCACCGTCTGGAAAAGCTTCATAATTAGAAACTCTTTCAATACCTACTTATACCCCTTCGTCGAACATAAAATATGAAGACGACGTGATTCTCCATCAACCGACTGAAAGAAAGCATATTTTTGTTCGTGGTTTCTATAAAATATATTTGAATTTGCACAGCCATCGAAAATCAATGTGAAAAATGCATGCTACTTAACTAGTCATTTCTTACCGAATACCGTTTCCGTGGGAGATTTAAAAACCTTCAAACGCTGACGTCCTGCCGAGTCCATAATATCATAGAATTATGCTGCAAGGGAATCAGCTTTGAAAACGCGCTTAAGTAGTCCTTCCTAATCGAAAACGCATTTCAGTATTGCAGCCAACATTTCATGAGATCGGCCACTCACTGTTTTTCTTTTTTTTAGCTGGATTTGCATATTCTGACATGCTATTTCTCGCCCGCCATATCGGCTACGGCCACGAAGACCGTATGTTTTTTTACCAGTTAATATTCTCTGAGAGCACAACTAAATGATACGGTCTAAGTTCAGATGATGCATGATATTTGAGTGGCCCTTGGCAGAAGGCAGCCGATATCAGGTTCTACGTCCTTTTGAATCCAAACACCGCTAGGTAGCAACAGACGGCATATCGTGAAATTTGTACCAGAGGTAACGATGGCTGGTTGGCGGACTATTTGTTCTTTATAGCAACCTGAAGTTCCGGGCGCCGAAGTGTCAGTGCTTGGCCCACATACCGGATGTTCGACCGCCGTTGCCGACGAGGTTCACCGTGTGCTCAACATCAAGTTGACAGCAGGGACGGAGACTCGCGCGTGATTTAGTTTATAGTGAGTAGTGGACTTGCGCAGAAGCTATCGCACCCTCTCCCCCCACCTGGACCTCATACTCAAATTGACGCTATCGATCACTTGGCAATCGAAGTCAGCCGCTGATCTACGATACACAACCGTGACAGTCGCATGGAGTTGATTATAGTGAGGTAGAAATGCGGTGCAGTTAGATCTGCCCCTCTCTCTCCCGCACGACAGTTCGACCATCGATTTCGATGATGTCCACCGTGTGCCCCACAGTTGCAGCAGCAATGGGAGCAGGGACGGTGACTTACGCAGGGGTTTATAGTGCCGGTAGACTTGCGCTGCATATACCTACACTCTCTCCTCCTCCTCCCTCGCCCGAGCCCGGTGTCAAGACAGAGTCAAGAAGACCGGCGACGACGGAGGCCGCAGGTGGATGGCTCGGACGGATCCTCACCTTGGCGTTCCACCACACCCCCTGGTCCACACAACAAATGACCAGGATTTCAACCAACACAACAGAGATTGGAGGCTGGCACGACCGAGGCCGCACCTAGGCGTGCCGCCGACGCCTGGCTCGGATCCCACACTGTGGTGGGAGTGCCATAAAGGCCACATCAAAAAGGAGCCATTGCAGCCTGACTCTCAGACCACCACCAGTGAAGGAGGAGGTCCGAGTTACCCCGTCAGTTGTCAACCTTCCAAGTCACGGCTTTTAGCGCACCGTGATAGGTTCGAGCGCGTCCGATTTTATTTATGGTGAGGAAAATGCGCTGAGTCGTCCACCTCACTCTCCCTTCCCACTCCCACACCCCAGCCGCTGTCCAAGCCTGTCAGCAGACTGAATTGGGAAATGGGCGCGGTGGCTGGCACGGTCGACTGACCGTGCCTGCGCGCGCCACAGCACGACCTGGCCCCCCATACACACAAACACCAGGATTTCACACAACGGGGGTTGAGCGGCGTGTCCCTCACTTGCGCGAGAGGGCCGTGGAAGGTGCTGCTTCAGCCCGTCCCCAGCCCACCAGTCCGCCACTCCACACAACGCGACGAACTGCGTGAACCGAGTGCGGGCGTCAATCAGCAACCTTCCTATCTACGACACTTGACGTCTCGGGATGGTCTCGGGCTCAAGTCACCCCTGCAGCCGAAGCCGCATGGGGGCCGAGTCGAGATGTAAACTTCCCAATTGTGTGGGAGGTGGCAGTTGGGTGCATGCTGTGGATGCGTGTTGATGTGTGGTGGGGTGATGGTGGAGTAAGGTAGGGAGTGTGTGAATGTGTGTTGTAGCCGGCGGTAGTCTACCGCAGGTCGTCGTGGATGCGCATGTGACCGAATAGGCCCATGCGATGCCTGAAAGTGCGATGGCAGTGTGGGCAGTTGAGTCGAACTTGGTGGGTATAGGTTGGTGCTCCAGGCACTGGTTCGCCAGTCTCTGTGCGATGGATTCGCAAGTGACAGACCAGGCCGATGCGAGATGTGAATGTGCGTGAACAGTGTGGGCAGGTGAATTCGGTTGTGCCGGTGTCAGCTGCGGGAAGGGCGATGGGAGCGGAGGGTTATGAGGTGGGGGTGTGGCTTGGCATGCTGGATGAGTCGGCATTGCGGTCAATTCCGCTCTCATGAATGCGCATGTGGCCGAATAGGACCATGCGGTGCGTGAAGGTGCGACGGCAGTGTGGGCAGTGGAGGCGAGTGCGGTGGGTGTAGGTTGGTGCTCCAGGCACTGGTTCGCCAGTCTCTGTGCGATGGATCCGCAAGTGACCGACCAGGCCGATGTGTGAGGTGAAGGTGCGTTCGCAGTGAGGGCAGGTGTAGTCCTGATCCTCATCGCCGGAGTCGGGGGAGGTGGGGGTGGCGTTGGTTGTGGTGTCGGGGATGGTGATGTGCGAGACGGCCGCCTGAGCGGCCGCCGATGGGCCAGTGGTAGTAGAGGCGGAGGCGGAGGAGGAGGAGGAGGAGGAGGAGGAGGAGGAGGAGGATGGAAGTGGTGCTTCAGAAGGATTGTCAGAGTTTGTTTGCGGCGGGGAGGACGAGGAAGAGGCGGGCGGGGGAGGATGGTTCGTGCAGTTCGAGAGGCGCAGTTGATCCGAAGATGTCCAACAAGTCCGATTCGAGCCCGGAATGTCCGTTGACATCGAGGACACTTTGGAAGCGGTTGTGCGGCGGCGTTGCGTACTGGGCGAAGTTGTGATTTGCGGGCTTCGCGTTTCGCTTTGGCGGCAGCGATCCCGTTGGCTTCGTAGATCGCAGCGCCTGTCTTCACTGTCCGCCTCCAGGTCAGTCGATCGTGAGCGAGCTCTTCCCAGTTGGTCGGGTGGATTTGAAGACGCTTCAGGGAGGACTTCAGAGTGTCCTTGTAACGGCGAATTTGGCCTTCTTGGCGGCGAAAACCCGTCGCGACGTCTCCGTAGAAGAGTCGCTGGGTAGTCGCTCGCCGTCCATGCGAACCAGGTGGCCGCTCCAACGCAACTGCATTTGTCTCAGCATGGTGTAGATGCTGACGATTCCCGTCCGTTCCAGCACTTCAGTGTCGGGGATTCGATCCTGCCAGTTCAGCCTCAGGATGCGACGAAGACAACTGAGGTGGAAGTGGTTCAGGCGGCGTGCCTGCTTTGCGTACACCGCCCAGGTCTCCGCGCCATACAGTAGCGTCGGCAGGATAACGGCCTTGTACATCTTCAGCTTCGTGTTCAGTTGAAGACCGTGACGATTCCAAACTGTGCTTTGGAGGCGACCGAAGGCTTGACTGGCTTTCGAGATCCTGTTGGCGACTTCGTCATCGATCTTGGTGTTACGGGAGTGGGTACTGCCCAGGAACGGGAAGTTCTCCACCACTTGCAGTTGGGTTCCGTTCACGCTGATTTGCTGCGGCGCGTTGGGGGCTGTGGCTGAGTTGGGTGGCGGTTGGTGCATCACCACCGTCTTCTGCGTGTTAAGGCCAGACCGAAGTTCTCGTAGGCGGCGGAGAAGAGGTCCATGCTGCGTTGCATCTCCTCTTCCGAGGTGGTGGTCAGGGCGCAGTCGTCGGCGAAGATGAGTTCGTGAACGGTGGTTGTGGATACGCGCGACTGGAAGTGCATCGGCCGTTGATTCAGGAGATGACCGTCCGTCCTGTAGGCGTTGCGGATCCCGGGGCGTTCGTCGCGGTAGGCGTCCATCAGCATGGCAGAGAACATAAGACTGAAGAGGGTTGGCGCCAGCACTCAGCCCTGCTTCACTCCGTTGGTCACTGCGAATGCCTCTGAGACAGCTCCGTTGTCCGTGACTCGCGCCATCATTCCATCGTGTAGCTGACGCTCCTTCTGAGTGAATCGCTCCGGACAGCCGAATTTCTGCATGATCTTCTACAGTCCTTCACGATTCACCGTGTCGAAGGCTTTCGTCAGATCCACGAAGGTAGAGTACAGGTGGGTCCGCATCTCCTGGCACTTCTCCTGAAGTTGGCGGGCGGCGAAGATCATATCCGTGGTTCCACGATGACGAGGGAAGCCGCATTGGCTTTCCGGCAGAAGGCCCTGTTCCAGATGGTTATTGAGGCGGTTGAGGAGAATGCGGACGAAGATCTTCCCGACAATGTTCAGCAGGGAGATGCCGCGGTGATTGTCGCAGATTTGGCGGTTTCCTTTACGTTGGTATAGGTGCACGATGGTTGCGTCCTTGAAATCTTGCGGGACTTCACCTTGACGCCACATCTGCTGGAAGAGCGCAGTCAGGTGATCCATCAGTTGGGGACCTCCGTGCTTGTAGACCTCAGCAGGGATTGCGTCCGATCCGGGTGCTTTCCCGCTGGAGAGCTGCTGCACGGCCCTGATGGTTTCCTGGAGAGATGGCGGGAGGTCGAGATCCACGTTGGTCTCCACTTGCGACAAACGCTCGATGGCGGCGTCGGAGATGACGGAGGGCCGGTTGAGGACGCCTCGGAAGTGCTCGGCCCATCGCTGTAAGATTTGCGTTTTCTCAGTCAGGAGAGTGCGACCGTCAGCGCTGAGGAGAGGAGCAGTGCCCTTCGTCGGCGGATCGTAGACAGCTTTGATTGTAGAGAAGAAGTTCTTCCATTCGTTGCGGTCCAAGTAGCCCTGGATCTCCTCAGCTTTGCGAGCAGTCCAGGCGTCCTGCATCTCGCGCAGTCGTTGCTGAAGTTGGCGGCGACTGCGGTAGAAGGCAGCTTTGTTGTCTTCAGTGGGGTGATCTACGTAGGCTTTGTGTAGGCGGTTCTTCTCGGCAAGCAGATTTCTGATGGCGGCGTCGTTGTCGTCGAACCAGTCCTGGTGTTGACGGGGAGCCCGACCAAGGACGGCGAGCGCCGTCGACTGGACCGTGTCTCGCAGTTGACACCAGCGGTTCTCCACGGAGGCGTTCTCGGCAGCGGCGGCGGCGTCGTCGGCGGCAGCGATTGGAAGATTGTCTAGCCGTTGAGCTAACTCATTTATGAAATGAAGATTGTGAGCGAACAAAGACAATAAGGCAACATTCAGCTTACCTGGGGGTCGCTTACCTTGTGGTCTCCTGCGAGGCTGTAGGCGAATACGCATCTTCGAGAGGACGAGGCGATGGTCGGTCCACCCGTCAGCACCCGCGATCGCTTTCGTCACCATCACGTCCCGCTGATATCGCCTCCGGACGAGGACGTAGTCCGACAGGTGCCAATGACGCGACCGAGGATGCCTCCAGGTGGCCTTCTCTCGCTCCGGCAGACAGAAGAACGTGTTCGTCAGGATGAGGCGGTGTTCTGCGCAGGTGCGGAGCAGCAGCAGACCATTGTCGTTTGAGCCGCGGAGACCGTGGGGACCCAGCACGCCCCTGCAGGCAGAATGGTCTGTGCCGACGCGGGCGTTGAAGTCACCAAGGACAATCAACTTGTCCGCCTTCGACACAGTCGCCAAGAGGGCGTGCAGGTCCTCGTAGAATTTGTCTCTGACGGCGTCGGGGTTGGTCATCGTCGGAGCGTAGGCGCTGATGATGGTGGCGAATTTGCCTCCCCAGAGAGGCAGGCGGAGGCTCATCAGGCGATCGTTGATGCCTTGCGGTAGGCTGGGCAGTCGTCCCACGATGTCGGTCCGGATGGCAAAGGCGACGCCCGCGTCTCGTCGCTCTGCCCTGGGTCGACCACTCCAGAAGAAGGTGTAGCCGGCACCCACCTCCTCTAGTTGGCCTTGTTCGGAGAATCGGGTCTCGCAGAGTGCGGCGACGTTTACGTTGTAGCGGGCCAGTTCCCGTGCCATTAGCGCCGTCCTCCGTTCCGGTCGGTTGCTCCTCGGATTGTCTAAAAGGGAACGAACATTCCAGGCTGCCAGAGTAAGCGGACTCACCCTGCCAGTCTGGTGACAACGAGTGGGGCGACGGGAAGGAGGTGGGGAGGAAGACGGTGAAGGAGAAGAACAAGCAGAAGAATAGGCAGAGGAAGAGGAAGAAGAGGTAGGATGAGGAGAATGAGTATGGTTGTTGTTGTTATTGGTATTGTTGTTGTTTCGATTTTGATTGTTTCGACCATGATTAGACGTCTGCGGCCCTGGCTTGCCTGTAGACGGCGTGGTGCCCAGCAATGTTTATTCCACCTTTTCTAGGCCCTTCCCCTCTTGGGGGCTGGCAGTGCTATCCCTGAATAGGGCTACCATGTGCCGTTGTGGCACGGCCGAACTGCACTATGGGGCCACGACTTCGGGTTGTAGTGGAGAACGACTCGAATTCGCCGTAAGCCGCGGTCTCCGATGGCGTAGGTGGGCGCGTCAAGGCTACTTGGAGCCACAGGTGAGAGTTGAGTGCCAGCATGTGGACGCTAGGCGTAGTCTCACCTGCAAGCAAGTGAGCGACCACCACGACCATCACGTGAACCCACCGCTGGCATCCCTACACCCCACACACACACACACACGCACACACGACAGTTCGACCATCGATTTCGATGATGTCCACCGTATGCCCAACAGCAGGTGGTGGGAGCAGGGACGGTGACTTGCTCAGGGGTTTATAGTACCAGTAGACTTGCGCTGCATCTACCTACACTCTCTCCTCCTCCCCCGCCTGAGCTCGGTGTCAAGACTGAGTCAAGAAGACCGGAGACGGGGGAGGCCGCAGGTGGATAGCTTGGAAGAATCCTCGCCTTGGCGCTCCACTCCGCACCCCTGGTCCACACAGATCACCAGGATTTTACCACAAAACAATGGAAGGCGTGGCAGTGATCCGAGTTGTGTGACGCCTGTCGATAACATAGACTGCCAGCGCACCCCCTACATGTTGGCATTTGCTATTGCGCACAGATAGCACCTGCCAGAATCCGATATGTCCCCCGTGTTGGTCCAGCACATCTAACACGTGGCCCGTTTGGAGGACACACACACACACAGGTACTTTACGGATCTTCATTTGAAGTTAATTTGAAACCTCATTAGAAAGTTCATTGGTACCGCTAACAGCAGTGTATTTTGAGTAGCCGAAGTGTCGATGTACTCAGTAGTAACAAGTCGGCCCTGGACATAACCCGGCCGCCGTAATTCCTGTCCCATTTTCAGCACGTAGAGCTTTAGGAGAGGGTAAACGTTGTAATCCGTGCGCCGTTTTTCCTTCTTTTTGGTATGCGAATGCTCTAAGGCGAATCCGCGTTTATGAACCACTTCTCAAAAAATGCTGTTTCATACGGCTTGGAAGGGTAAGAAGAGAGTACAAAGCGCTTCTATTACGCGTTTGAGATGAGCACACAGACTCAAGAAATAAACGTTTACGAAAGAGCGCCTGAAAATTTCACTCAAAACTGCAATCGGTTCTTATTTAACCTCAATGAGCGTCTGATGTGCAGGGTTTCAAATGTTGTCAGGAGGTTTGTGGGGATTACCTGCACGTGAAAATTTCATGCTCGTTAGGGTTGGATTTTTATTGCTTTAGAGAAGACCACAACTGTGACCACAGAAGACAGAACTGAAGAACCTGACCGAAGAATACTTATACCCAAGTGGCGGAAGCCCAGCGCATTTCACTCGGTATTAGATCCCACCTCCGATTAGCGTTCATAAGGTCAAAGAAGGGCGAATCTCACTACGGCCTTGACAAAAAAACCAAGAGTGCATGAGTATAGCAGGTCGTTTCATAATAACATACACATTAGCTGCGTCGATTTAGGGCTACGGAATGGTTTGCACACATACAACCCTTTATCAAGGCTAGAGACTCTGCATCAGGTCAGCGCGGATATGATTTTAGTCTCGTCCTCCTTGCCCGTGCAGACTTTAGCAATGCGATCCTCGTTTCCCCTATCTCTGCTCCTACGAATAAAGCAGATTTACTTAGCTCCGTGAAAACTGGGGTCGTACAAGCTCCTTAGTAGCCTTCGCATCAAGACTGCAAACATTTCGCCCAGCTCGTCACGCCTGTGTTGCTGCTTGCTTTTCTGCAAACATCTGCAAAAACGTAGACCCAAAATCTACGTAGAACTATGATTTGAGTCGCCTCACTTGTCACGACAGTGAGGCTGGAGTAGGCAGTCATTCCTGCTCAAACTCGCTTCGTCTCTGCTGACATTGCGGCACGACTTACGACACGCCACCCGCGGCATGCACGGCAGATGACTCAGCTGACAGAGGTCAGTCGATAAACGTGGTTGTCTCTCTCACAGCTGACACCTCAGGCAGCAGCCGGTGAACGGAACGATTCGCTGCAGCTGAGGAGTACGCGATCACTGCCACAAAACTCCCCCAATCGGTCACACGCACACCAAAATGTAAGAATTGCCGACACGTTGAGGACACTAATGGCATCCACCGAAGGCGGATGCACGGGTAAGATAGCGCATTTTGACCGTTGTGACAGGAAGAAAAAAAGGTAAATTCTAGTGCCCGCTACCCTTGGGGTACACACACACACAGTTCGTGGAGGTTCCATAGAGGTTAGTTGCAGTTAGACCTAGCTGGATTGTGCCTTGACTATGATTAATCCAGTAGCTCCCGCTCAACCATTTCGATCGTGCTGAAAACCTGTTGCGTTCAGGATGCCTAGACTTTAAGTAAATACTTAAGGTGCGGTCCTAGAAATTTTGAAAAAACCTTGGAGAAAAGATATAAATCGAGATCATCAAAGACACTTTTTATCGGTTAACTCGATAAAATTAAGATTCTAACTGCCTTTTGGAAGGGAGTGGAAGGTTTCAATATGAAGCTTCTCTTGAATGTCCGCTTGTGGTTGTAGAACACAACTCCATGATTAGATGCTTCGATTATTTTCAGTCTATAAATACAATTACCGATTAGCAGAGGAAGAAGTTCTCATTCCGTTCTGCCTGTATTACTGGCAACATACAACTGCTATGAGGGTTCTATAGGTCAGAAGGTCTGGAAGCATGTGCTATGTCCGTATCAGCAAATCATGGTCCCCACAGCCTGGAATGCGCTGGCAGTGCCCTGAAACCGAGTTTTCTGCCGGTAGATGCACTTGCGCTCCCGCTGGGTATCCAGGTGGTGGGCATGGCTGCCCAGTCATCATCATCCTTCTGCACCTATAATAAATGTCTACGTAGGGGTGTGGTGGCACGCGGGGGGTGCGGGCCCATGCCGCGCAGGTTGGGATCTGGGGCCCCCTCATTTTGTGTAAAATTTTGTTCGGTGCGCATTTTCCACCCTTTAGGTGTGGTTGTATGTCTAGGTGCAGGCTCTGCCCAGCCAGTCACCTACGCCCCCTGCCACCTTCGGTTTTCTCAACTTGGTTTCGACAACGGTCTCAGGTGGGAAGGAACTAAGAATGTGGCAATTGCTGTGTAAGCCCGCTCTCATTATAAACCAATTCAAGCGCATGTCACCGTCCCAGCTCTCGCACGGTGGACATCGTCAGCAACAACGGTCTACCTGTCATGCGTGTGTGCCCCTGTAGGTCAAAAAGCGTGAGCTATGCCAGTATCAGCAAATCATGGCCCTCGAAGCCTGGTATGCGCCGGCAGTTCCCTGACATCTGATTCCCTGCCGGTAGATGCACTTGCGCTCCCGCTGGGTAGAGAGATGGTGAGAATGGCTGCCCAGTCATCCTCGTCCTTCAGACCCCTGTTGAGGTGTTGCTGTTGTTGTGGTTGTCGTTGTGGTTGTTGCTGTTACTGGTCAAAACCTGGTCATTTGCCGTGTGGGCCGGGGGCTGTGGCGTGGAAAACCAAGGTGTGGACTCGACCGTGCCATCCACCTGCGTTTCCCGCCGCCTGTCCTCTTGACTCTGTCTTGACATCGGGTCCGGGTGGGGAGTGAGGAATAGAGAGTGCGGAAGAAGCTGTGCAAACCCATTATCACTTTAGACTAATCCATGTGAAAATCACCGTCCCTGCTCCGCCTTGCTGTGGAGCACACTGTGGACATCGTCGGCAACGACAGTCGAACGGTTATGGGGGTTTTAGATTAAGCCTAATGCGAAATGGGATAAACACGCTCCGAAACTCGATCAGAGAACGCCTGCTTATGTACGACAGCGTAATTTTCCGACAATAAAACGGGCCTATAGTTTGGTGGTGGAGCATTGGGCTTAACTATTGGTGATCAAGGAGTCTTTCCTAGAATCTCAAACCATACAGGTCTGTGATTAGATACGGCTGGTGACAGCAGCTAATGGACCAGAAGTGACCAACCCAGGCTCTCTGGTCTTTGTCAGTATTTCTTTAAGTTTTTACTCATTTTAAGATGATTTACTCTGTTATAGACCTCGGTTGTCTTGTAGAGGTATAGCTGATGTGGCGCGCTGTTAGGGGTATGCCGCCGACATCCATCATGGCCATGTCTGGCGTCCCTGTTAAAGGTCTCACTGCGTCTAGGTCATTTACCCTCGCAACGAGTGGTCCCAGATGCCCTGCCCTGCGACCATTCTACTGACTTCAACTCGTACACATGTCGCCGCTGTCCATGCACCAATTGGGCATCTCCCCGGCGAATATAACACAAGCCTTTTGAACGCCATCCCTCGGCAGATGCAACACGCACCGACTGGACACCACTTGAGCTTGTCCTACAAACCTACAACAGCGGACGCCATCACCGTCTCACGCCGATTCTCAGGCATGACTGGATGCAGTCACTATCAGTCCTGGATTCACCGCCTGGCTACTGCCGCCTGAGATGACAACAAAATCCCTCTTTCGACTGACTTGCGTCTTTGCCTTCAACAGGGGATTTGGCCCTGATGATTGCAGCGCTCTGAGTACACTCTCACCGCTAGAGGTTTTCTGCAGTCACATTTTTGCAGGACGCGCCGGTTAAATCACGTT